CAGACATATCTACCTTTTAAAAAAAATAATAATAATGATGGATTTCAAAAATATCTGGATGATCTTGGAGGCAACATAGCTGCAGAAGGAACTAGCCCAGCTTCAGAATTCAGGAGACCTTGGAGACTATACCTTAGAGGTCAGATTGTAGAATAATAATTCAACATCAGAGTTTTTTTTTTAAAGGGAACTTTAAGGATAGTTTAGAAGTATCATTCCTTGTTCTATGGCTGTGTCAAGTCAAATAGAGCTGCAGAGTTTTAGCATATTGGTGGCTCACTGTTACTTGTATCTCTATCAGAACAGCTAAACTTTTAAAAAAAAAAATATTAAAACTGAAATCACAAGGAAAATGTCTGGAATATCCTGGGGTAGAGGAGTACATCTCTTGCAATGCATGTACACATAGACATACACATACACACACCAATACACCAACATCATTGTTATGGCAAACTTCAAATTCCATGGTAATAATTTAATCTCATATATCCAGCAGGGTGACTGAGGGCTAGAATGTTGCGCTTCCAGTTGTGCGAAGTGTACCCAGTTCCCAATAAAAAAAGATTTTTATTATATATATGCTTGTTTTCTGACGAGGAAATCATTTTTCTTTCTGGTTTTGTTTAGCTGGGTTCAAACAGGCCAAACATTTTGCTGCCTAAGGCAGCACCTGTCCCTTCTTCTCCTTTGCACTGGTGTAGTTCAAAATTGTTATTTTAGTATTGGAAGCAGAAGATCCCAGGAACATATTTCGAAATGGAAAAAAAAAAATACAGCAATTTAACAATGAACAATCCTTTCCTCTTCATTTTACTTTGCAGATGACGAGGGAGCAAACGTAATCAGTTTATTTCAAAGAGGCTTGGCTACAAACAGGCCTGAGCATAGTTGCGGACCATTATTCTACTTTCATGATCTGCTGCGACTGAAATTCTCCATTGAAAATAACTGGCTGGGCAAGCATGAGCAACAGGCAATACCAATCTGCCTTAAAACACTCACAATAGTCTTCTGTTACCCATTCAGAGGAAAATGCTAACCCTGCCAGAAAGTAGGTGGGATTCATTATCAATTTTCTCAGAAGGAAGTGAAGGTCAGCCTGCAATTTCTGTAATACAGTTCTGATCTCATTTTGCAAGAATCAGAGTACAGAATTCCCCTTTAGTGCCATGTTCATTACAATGCCACTGTTTCTGCTCTCCTCTGCTCCCAGCTTTGCATCACTGAGAACAATGAACAACAGTCAGCTCTGCATCACTGAGAACAATGAACAGTCAGAACGTTGTAGATTCTACAGTCACAAACTTCAATCCCGCCCACTCCCTTCTACTAAGGCATGCTATGTAAAGGGAAATAAAAGACATGAAGCCAGATACTTTGACACTTTCATTTCCTGCCAAAGGGGAAAACTGACAGAAGCTCCTCAGGTTTATCTCTGTAATTTTGATTAAGTATTGAGGGGAAGATGAGAAGCTGCCAAGCTAGCATTCCACTTGGAGGACCTGCTAGATCAGTAAAACACAGGGTTTAGGAGGAATGCTGAGGCAAGACAACCCTGTGGATCAATTCTCCTTTCATGACCCATTCCACAAGCTCCACATTTTCAAATGAAAAGCAGTTTCAGAGTAGTTATGCTTACATTATAGCAGGGGTCTTCAAACTTGGCCCTTTTATGACTTGTGGACTTCAACTCCCAGAATTCCTCAGCCAGGCACGCCTGGCTGAGGAATTCTGGGAGTTGAAGTCCACAAGTCATAAAAGCCACGTTTGAAGACCCCTGCATTATAGCAAGAAATAATTTGGCCCAGCTTCTGAAGAACAATAAGCATGCAATCACAAGCTTCAAGAGCCAATCTAGGAAAGGTACAAACACTGTGTGGAAGGGCCCTAGTCCAGAAATGCCTATCTCATTTACTGCTTCATTTCTCCTGTCATCTCCACCAGCTAGATAGAGTTGAAAGAAACCCAGTAGGCACTCCAGTCAAGGTGTTGTGCATGAATGAATGCATCAGTTCTATCCCTACTTTCTAGGAATTTGAGAAGGCACCATATTGAGAAAGGAAGATACCAGCACATGAATAGGTCATCTCCCATCTGGTGCCTTTCCCCCAGGGCTGAGAAGGCCTTGCTCATCGGAAAGGCATGTTGTTGCCACTATTCCAAAATAACTTGTGTTTGTCATTAATTATAGTTAAAGCAGTTGGAAGAAAAATGTCCCGTTTTGGTTCTGCTAATGTGGCTGAAAGCCATAGTGGCTGATTTTTTGAGAGAAACTCACATGCTTCTGCCTGTCTGAATCTTCACTTTTCATATTATTCCAAAATTGAAATAAGAGTGTTGGTATGGCAGGCGAAATAAATCTAACTCAAGACTCCTGCATTTCCACAAAGGAAGCAGCCTACTATTTCAATAATTCACTGCCCTGATAGAAGATTAACTTCTCCTGGTAGACAAGGCACAGTTGCTTGGGGAGGATGGGAAGGGTAACCCTTTTTATCTGACCTTTATTGTGTTCTCCCAAGGTGGAGAACATAGCTAATATTTCTTCTTCCTCCTATTCTCCCCCAACCACTACCCTGCGAGCTGTGTTGGGCTGAGAGAGAGTGACTGGTCTAAAGTCACCCAATCGGCTTTCATGCCTAAAGTGAGACAAGAACTCAAGAATCCCCTGGTTTCTAAGCCAGCACCTTAGCCACTGTACCAAACTGGGTATGTGATCATTGTGATTCCTTCCAACTCCATAATTTAATGATCCCTCATAAATCTTCAACAACTACAATTGGCTCAATCACACGTCCATCACATAAAACAGTGAAATTACTGTTGCCCTAATCTGGAGGGAAGTCTAGTTTTATTAATAACAGTATTAAACAGAGTAGTGTTTCTTTTTTTGCACTTATGTTGGAGCGTTCCAAAAGTTTCTGAAACATTAAGCTTAGGGACATGCGTGTAAAAACATTACAGATGTGTATCTGCTCCACATTGCAAACAGACATGAGGACTATAATAAGGAATCCTGCAGCCTGCTTCAAATTTAATACACAATCAGACAAAACACTTTTGCAAGGGTAAAGAACTGGCTGATGATCAGATCCTAAAACATTATAAGCAGAACACTTGACAAGTGGGAGAGAATGTCTAACCAACTTAAGTTTTGGGCTGGCGGCTACTAGTTTGTGCTTAGTTTTTATAATCTAGTTTTATAATTAAGAGGGGACCAGAGTCGATTTGCTGCAGTTTCATAATGGGGATTCTTGGCTCCTGACCACATTCTGGATTTTCTGCACACGCATGTACAGATAGTCCTCAAATTATGATCACAACTGAGCCCAAAATTTCTGTTGTTAAATGAGACATTTGTTAAGTGAGTTTTGCCCCATTTTATGACCTTTCTTGCCATAGTTGTTAAATGAATCACTGCCATTGATAAGTAACCCAGTTGTTAAATGAATCTGGCTTCCCCATTGGCTTAACTTGTCATAAGGTCACAAAAGGTGATCAAACGGTCATAAATATGAACCTGTTGCCAAGCATCTGAATTTTGATCACGTGATCATGGGGATGCTGCAAAGGTCGTAACTGTGAAAAACAGTCATAAGTCACATTTTTCAGACCCGTTGTAACTTTGGTCACTAAATGAACTGTTGTAAGTCGAGGACCGCCAGTATACATGCACACATATATACACACATACTTAGCAGTAATTCCCCAAAACAAGGAGGCAAGAAAACTCAGGGTGATTGGGAAATTAGGGCCAGCAATATAAAATTGAGCATGGTTCCATATCACAATTCAGATTGGAGATAAGACTGGAGTAGTTTCAGAATAAATAAATCAATGTATGAGGAAATATTGTTTATCCTGAGGCTTATCCTGTTCTTATGAAAGCAGAAAGTAGCCATTTAAATATCCCACAATGCTTCAATTAAACTAGCTCCTCTGTCTTATAAGGGGAACCCAAGGCCTAGCCTCTTGTGGGTCCTGATAGCATTTCATTAAGAACCCCTCCTTATAATGACATCTTTCAAGTTCCCTTGATTTCCTATTCCGCTTCCTCCTCTCAATTGGGTTAAGACAATCCAATTATTTTCCTTCCTATGGAGTAGCCTTTGTGCATGACAGTGATAAAGCTGCATGGCACTGCAGAAATGGGGAACCACTAGGGGAAAAAATTAGTAACATTTTTTAATTTAACAGTGCCAGTAGGAGCTGAATAAGCTGATCAAAGAGAAGCCCATCTGGCATATTGAGATTAAATGTGGACCAAAGCCAGATGCTGCTTTAACTGGGATGCAGAACATAAGACAGGTGTTATGAGCTGCAGAGCAAACGCTTCCTTTCATCCATTCATTTGAATATTAGTGGAGAAAGGCAGATGAAGTTCAGAAGTTTAGTTACACATTCCTATTTAACTCTGCAGAAGTATCCTCTTTTTCCTACCTTTCTTATATCGGTTTTTAAATAAGATATTTGCTACAGTTGCCCTAGGGCAGGGGTAGGCAACCTTGGCTCTTTTATGACTCGTGGACTTCAACTCCCAGAATTCCTGAGCCAGCATGGCTCAGCTTGGAAACCTCTCCCTTTCCCCTCAGCATGGCTGGCTCAGGAATTCTGGGAGTTGAAGTCCACGAGTCATAAAAGAGCCAAGGTTGCCTACCCCTGCCCTAGGGACACCATGATGATCAAAGCCTTAGCAGAACTTACTACTTCTAATATATCTAGGGTGATGCCAGGCACAAGCAACCAGAACAGCTTTGAGAATGGGTCAGGTAGGTTTCTTTGCCTCTTCTAGCATTGATTACGTTGCCTAGTTTGGTAATAAAACATCCGCAAGAAAACAACCAAACTCAGAGGACCACTTAACTCCTACACTTCTGAATACCAGAGATGGGTGGAAACAGTGATAACTTTTTGCCTTTGTAAGGACCATCCAAAACGTGAGGTTAATTCATCCCCCAAGAACTGATGTGATGGAGACAAACTGCGTAACACAAGAGTATTTGTGTTAAATTTTATAAACAGGAACAGTTACAAAACAGTAACAAACATTTCATAGGAAACAATCACAATAACAAAAAGGTTTCCTGAACAGGATTTGAACCTATGCACACAGAGTGAATTTGAATTTTTTTTTTTTTTTAAAAAAAGCAGGATTTGAAAATCAGGTGAATTAGCTTACCCAGTTAAGAGTTCAAGGGTTAGGACTTTTGTTTTTTTTTTAATCCTTATGTACATGTTCTTAAAAGCACCATTGTCGAGTTAAATTCGGAATCATTCCAAAGCACATATGGCTCTATACATGCTAGAAAAGGCACTCCAAATAATAATACCAGTTTTATTTGGCATTCATTCCTTTGGGGGTTACAAGGGTGGAAGAAGTGCAATCACTTTCTTGCTACATCCCAGTTTATTTATATTCACCATCACCAACTTAGTAAAGGTGAACATCTTAAGAAGGTAGCCTGTTCTGCAAATATAAGCCCCTCCTCCCATACATTTCATAGCCCTGCTGGTCAGTCTTTACCACAACAGAGATTAGGAAACCTGTGGCTATCCAGATGATGGACTACAACATCCGTGAAGTTTTTCGATGCTTAGTTAGGTCAAAATTCAGTATCGGAAGGACCACAGAAGATCCTTCTCTCCCCAGACACGATCTTGCCATCCTTCTTCCATTCACTGAAGTAGATATGATGGCACGATCACATCTGTGGAGGGAATATGGAAAGGCTGGGCTAGTAAGAACGTTACTACTCTCCCTGTTGGCTAGCTTTAGCAATCTTCAAGAGGTGATTTGTGCAATAATGAGAGTGACCAAATAGTTTCAATCACAACCTTAAGGTCAAATAGATTTCAGAGAAAAAGCTGACATCTTGTGAACACTTAATATTTTTTAAAAAAAATGCAGGATTACATTTTGAAATTGCTGAGGACCTTTTTAGAATATTCTGGGGCATCACAGGTGACCATAATTGTGGCAAGAGTGAATGTCCGATTATGGCTTCGAAAGGTCCAGTTTGGATCTTAGATTAAGGAGAGGATACGAGAGTAGTTTTCCCTTCTTGATACAAGCAACTTTAATTGCTCTAGAGCAGGGGTAGGCAACCTCAGCTCTTTTATAGTCATAAAAGACTTGTAGACGTCTTTTATAGTCATAAAAGACTCGTAGACGTCAACTCCCAGAATTCCTGAGCCAGCATGGTCCCATGCTGGCTCAGGAATTCTGGGAGTTGACGTCCACAAGTCATAAAAGAGCCAAGGTTGCCTACCCCTGCTCTAGAGAAAAGATAAACTAAATACGGTAAATCTCTCGTACGGCACACATACAAAAAATGGCAACATCTTGAAGGAGAAGTATCGCAAATCAGAACCTGTGTGCCATGCATTTCTATTGCAAGAAACCATCGTAGGCTACCATGTAGTTGTATTTTACCCCTGAGTTAAGTCTCTACAAAGGGCAGTTTATCGAGGCCAAAAAATGCTTGCTTCAGATTTGCTGCAAAGTAGAACGAACAGCCTTCTCAGTCAAGAGAAGGACACAACTATGGCTTAGTGTTGAGATAAGAGACAAAATCAGCTTCAAAGACAGCGACAGCCAACCTGGACATTTGCCAATTTATTCTGGCAAAATTCAGAGGTAGCTATCAAGACCTTCTAAAGAAAACTGGTGTCCTGCCTTCATTGATAAAACAGAAATACATTAATGTGTGTTCCTTAAATCCTTTCTCCTTTAAGTCACCCAGGGCCCTTCCCAAAGAAAGGAAAGGAGACAGACCCATCTAGTTTGAACCCTTGAAAATCAATCTTAAAAAATATATAGTGGGCTATCCAAAGATGTTTGCAGACAGGAGAGAACATATTCAGAACCCCGGGCCAGCTTTGTGCTCTGACTCTGCTAAAAGCAGAAGGGGAAGAAGACAATGCAGCAACGTCACAAACACACACATACCCACGTATCCTTCAGAGGCAACCTTGTGGTGTGGTGAGGGGGACGGTAGAGCCAGAGTCATAATCCAGGTCCACTGTGGTATGAGCGCTTGTGCTGAGGTTGCTCAAGGAGGTGCCAGTTCCCAAGTGCTGACGGTCCCGCAGGCTCTGGATGTAACTCTTTGGGAAGCAAATGGAAAATGAGTCAGAGAGATTAGCTCAGGAAATGGGAATCATGCATTCTCTGGAATAAGCAGGGACCGGCTGGGACGTGGAGGTGTCACACTAGGAACTCGATCACGTTTTTTAAAGTACCTCACTCTGGTGACTTTTGATGTGAGGAAGGGCTTCCAAAGGCAGAACGATAGGATGGACAATGCGATGACAGGTAGTCCTTGACTTACGACCACAATTGAGCCCAAACTTGCCTTTGCTAAGTGAGTTTTGCCCCATTTTACGACCTTTCTTGTTGTAGTTGTTAATCACCGCAGTTGTTAAGTTAGTAACATGGCGGTTAAGTGCGTTTGGCTACCCCTTTGACTTGCCTTCTCAGAAGGTCGCAAAAGGGGATCGATCATATGACTCCGGGACCACTGCAACCATCATAAATATGAACCAGTTGCCAAGCGTCCAAATGTTGATCATGTGACAATGGGGAAGCTGCAACACTTGTGGCTTTTTTAAGTGCTGCGAATGGTTGTAAGTCAAGGACCATTTTTATTTTATGTATTATTTATTAGGTTTTTATCCTGCCATTATTGATTTGTAAGTGTCCAAGGCAGCAAACATGTTGTACATAATACTCCTTCCTCCTCCTATTTTCCCCACAGCAGCAGCCCTGTGAGGGAGGTTGAGCTGAGAAAGAGGGTTGTGTTATTGAACATGTGTGTTTGTGTGTGTGTGTGTACCCGTGTTTTCCTGAAAATAAGGCGGGATCTTATATTAATTTTTGCCCCAAAAGACACATTAGGGCTTATTTTCCTGTAAGAGCTTATATTCGGGGAAATACAGTACTAAATGCGTCCGTCTTAACTGGAGCTTATTTTGGGGGTGGGGCTTATATTACGAGCATCCTGACAAATATGCTAGGGCTTATTTTCCAGTTGGGTCTTACTTTCCGAGAAACACGGTATGTATATGTATATGTATATGTATATGTATATGTATATGTTATGTGTATGTTTATGTAGATGTAGATGTAGATGCAGATGCAGATGCAGATGATGTAGATGTAAGGCTCATTGCAGCACAAATAAAAAATGAAATAAAAATCTGGGTAAGAAAGTAGATCATCTGGAACTGCAAAGGCAATGAAGAAGACAAGCAAGTCTTCGTAGGAAAGAGATTCCCAAACAGGCACAAAAGTTGATCACCGTTATTATTTTTGGCACCCCAAAGCCATTCTGGACAAAGTTTGGGAGGTCCCATTGGTTGAGATGGTGGGATCGGCTTTCTAGAAGCTCAGGGATGAAGGGGCTAAGCAGCCATTGGCCGCAGCCACTCACTGGTGCGAGGACGTCTCCGGTGCAGCGTTTGATGGCACCAGCCTTGTGCCGGTAGGAGCCTTCTTGTGGAACTTGGCACTGCCTCTTTTTGGCTTCCCGCTGTCGAATCCGTAAGAGTTGTAATTGCTTCTGGCGCCGATTCAGGACCACTAGGCCACAGAAAAGAGACATGAGACTGGATGATAAAGACTTAGCTTAAAATCCCTTATAGAACCTGCCTAGCCCAGCCCCATTCTGGGAGAAAATGATAGCTTGAAAGGGAAGCTTTGATTCAGACTATAGCCTCTCACTTGTACATGTAGTCCTCAACTTATGACCACAATTGAGCCAAAAAATTCTGCTGTTAAGTAAGACATTTATTAAAGGAGCTTTGCCCCATTTTATGAGCTTGCATGCCTCAGTTGTTAAGTCAGTGTTTCTCAACCTTGACAATTTTAAGGCATGTGGACTTCAACTCCCAGAATTCCACAGCCAGCAATGCTGGCTGTGGAATTCTGGGAGTTGACGTCCACATGCCTTAAAATTGTCAAAGTTGAGAAACACTGTGTTAAGTGAATCACTGCAGTTAATAAGTTAGTAACCCGGTTGTTAAGTGAATCTGGTTTCCCCATTGACTTTGCTTTTCAGAAGGTCGCAAAAGGTGATCACATGACCTTGGGACACAGCAACGGTCGTAAACATGAACCAGTTGCCAAGCATCTGAATTTTGATCACAGGATCATGGGGATGCTGCAAAGGTTGTAACTGTGAAAAATGGTCATAAGTCACATTTTTCAGAGCCATTGTACTTTGAACGGTCACTAAATGAACTGTTGTAAGTCGACGACTACCTGTATACTGAGAGTTTGTCTTGTCTCCTACTCCTTCCTTCCTCCATCTCCTTCAAGAGCAGAAAGGCTAAAGAAATCTGTTCTGTTGCTATTATGCTTTTGGGAAAAGTGCAACAGTAGAAATGCTACCTTTGGTTAGGTTTCCGCCCATTTTTCTTCTAATTTCTTTATAACTGTAGCCTTGTTCACTTAATAATACTATTTTACATCGCTTTCTGGGCAACCAGCCAATTCTTTGCACCATTACTTTATGTTATTACGTTTTACAAGCTCACTAAATGAAAGAAAAAAAAACAACCAACCAACTTGATAGCAATCACATAACACACTGACAAATATCCTCTTCTCAGCTTCAATACATAACATCAATAACTGAATCCTACTGTGATCTGATTGGCTCATTGCAAAAACAAGATGACACCCGATTGGCTCTCTAAACACTCATGCTCATTGGCTACAATCAGATGAAGGAAAGCTACCTGATATCAACCTAAGCAAGTTGTGCTTCCTTTTTCTGGTTATTTGGCTATAACTTTTCATAGAATACAGTACAGATAATTGAACAAACTATGTTACATTACATTCTTGATTACATTATCTTTCCATTGATATATAATTTTATGGTACTACTCCAAAAAAAAGTGCTGTTATTAGCCATCAAACCTCAAAAATACACTTTTCCCAAAAGATTTCCACAGTTTTGGCCACTACTGTACATTTTTAAGATTATGAAAATCTCAGCTTCCTTACAGATCAAGAGAAAAGACAGAAGCAATTTCTTCACGTCCTCCCTCAATTAGCTATATATTAATTTCACCTTTCTCTCCCCCCCCCCGATACCACAATATTAACCTCAAAATCTTTACACAATCTTCTTTTATGCCTGCATTTACAGGTAGTCCTCAACTCACAACCACAATTGAGGTCAAAGTTTCCATAGCTAGGCAAGACAGTTGTTAAGTGAGTTTTGTCCCATTTTACAACTTTTCTTCCACAGTTTAAGGGAATCACTGCAATTGTTAAGTGATATATGCGACCATTAAGTGATTCTGGCCTCTCCCATTGATTTTGCTTGTCGGAAGCCAGCTGAGAAGGTTACAAATGGTGATCACGTGACCCTTGGGACACTGCAACAGTCATCAACACATGCCAGTTGCCAAGTGTCTGAATTTTGATCATGTGACCTTGGGGATGCTGCAACAGCTGAAAGTGTGAAAAATGGTTGTAAGTCCCTTTTTTCAATGCCATTGTAGCTTTGAACGATCACTAAATAAATGGTTGTAAATCTAGGACGGGGGTAGGCAACCTTGGCTCTTTTATGACTCGTGGACTTCAACTCCCAGAATTCTTGAGCCAGCATGGCTCAGTTTGGAAACCTCTCCATTTCTCCTCAGCATGGCTCGCTCAGGAATTCTGGGAGCTGAAGTCCATGAGTCATAAAAGAGCCAAGGTTGCCTACCCCTGATCTAGGACTACCTGTTCTAATTTAACTTTTGTTACACCATGGGTAAGGGGCAAGTATTTAACTAAGTATGCATTATAGCACATCATATTTGCATGGTGTGATCAAAGAACTACGTGCACTGTAGCTTTGTGTGACAAGTCATAAATGCATGTATACATAAAATATAAAATATACACATAAAAATGTGTGTGTGTGTGTGTGTGTGTGTGTGTGTGTGTGTAGAGGGATATATTCAGTGGGGAGAGAGGGAAAGAAAAATGGCAAGAAAAGAAATGAGACGTTCTGTTACTTCCTAAGAGCTCCATATCCAGCTAGGCCTACTCTTTCAGTCAGATCCAAGATTTTCACTCACCGTCTGTGTGGGAGAAACCTTCAGCAGTCACTTTCCACTGCAGCAGGATGCCCATCAAGGCAAGGGCAGGCCAGGTAGCCAGCACTGCCCAGCCACACCAGCAGAGCAGGGAGGAAGGGGCCAGACGGAGGCGGTCATAGACATGGTGGCCCAAAGCCAGGTTCTCCACCGTGTAGTCCAAGCAGAGAGTCAGAACAGCAGCCCCAAACACCGCTGTGGAGATCACCGTGAGGACCTTCTGCCAGCGCAACGCCAAGACAGCACCTAAGAGGGACAAGCCCAGCAGGGACCCAGCAGGGATCCACCCGTTGGGCAGTTTGTAGAAAGGCTCGGTGGCTACCAGTCCAGCCGTGGCCACCAGCAAGCCAAGCAGAAGCCCTGTCAGAAACAACCCCACAGAGTGCACCAGCATAGTAACCAAGCCACACAAGACTCCGATGCCCAGGGCAATGCCAGCGCTGACCTCCAAGCTGAGCTGGGTGTCCAAGATACGCTCCTTATAGCAAAGCAGAAAGATCACAGCGGAGCCAAAGAGGAGACCGGAGAGGAACATGATGGCCTTGAAACACCGATAGCCTATTGACAGGAAAGAATGAAATAAGACTACCAAGGCAAGTGAACAAAGGCAAATTGTTTACAAATAGGAGGATAGATTAAGAGGGCAACTGCAGAAACATTACATCCAAATACTCATGATGGTTCAGCAAATCCTCAATAGTAAGAAAAATGCCCAGACAAATCAGCTGGGTTTTTTTTTTTAAATTGCCCTTTTGTCATAATTATTTAGAACAAAGGATTCATGCAATTTGCAACGAGGACTTGCTGCTATCATTATTACTACAAAATAATTTTTGGCACTTGATGTTATTTGAAAGACATGAAGGACACTGTGCTCACTGGAGCTTGGTTATTTAGCTCGATGGAAGCATGTGTTGAAAAGTGGGAAATGTAACTGATGACTTCAAAACAACAGCCTCTTTTAGTGATTCTTTTCTGGGTTATAGGTCAAGAGAATAAGAATAAAAGATAATTTTTACTCTCACTATTCACTCCAAATGAAGTAGCAAACAGAATGGATAATTTTAAAAAGATGGTTTTGTTTTTCTTCAAGATGAGCATCATCTCCAATTCTCACAGTGGAAGAAAGGATGGAAAAACTGATGGAGCTTGCAGAGGTAGTCATATTTATTGCTTTAATCAAAGAAAACATCTAGTTTTGTCTCTACTGTACTTAAACCCTTTTACAGTTTGGTGCTTGAGACAGAAAAAAAATAAGTGATTTTGGGGATTTGCTGATTAGGTAAGTCTGTTGTTATAGAAGTGGCTAGTAAACTAAGTATGTAAAAGTAAAACGTTGAAGCTGAACCCTATTATTTTTATTCTATTGCAGTGCAAAAAGTTGGACATTAACACTTTTTTCTTCTTTTTCCCCTACCCCACACTTCTCTTTTCCTCTTTTTCCCTTCTCCATTTCCCTACTACTTTATTTTCATTTATATTTATAATATAAAATTTAATTAAAAACTGAAGAAAAAACCAAAGGAAGACTACCTCTTCTACCCCAGTCCATTCTGTGTCTTTCTTGCTTCACTTCGGTTTGCTATATTAACTAATCTGCACCCATTCCCATGTACTTGTACCTAGCTGCAACTTTCTGAGAGGTAACAAATTAGCATTCCCACTCTTCTTCTGGTTTCTTTTAAGATGGATATGAGGCACACTGAAAAGCAACACAGCAGGTCTTCCACTCCCACAGAAGAGAATATTTATAGCTCAGGGCTGAACAGTGGGGTCCTTGGTACTCTCAGAGCTTGATTTTTTTTCTTGCAAATGTTTCATGACACAACTAGGTAACATCATCAGTGCTAGAAGGAAATGGGGCTTATTCTAGTACCTCCAAGGTCCCTTCCAACTTTACTACTATTACTATTACTAAACCATTTGTCTGAAATGATATAGAAAGTCCTGCCTTAGCAGGGGGTTGGATTAGAAGACATCTAAGGTCCCTTCCAACTCAGTTATTCTATTAAAAATGAAGACAATTAAAGCTGATGGTGTTACTTCGTTGGGTTATAAAAACACGGCAAGAAAGCAACCAAGCTCAGAGAGCACAAGGACCCCACAGTGTTATTATCAATTCAACAAAAAAAAATTCAGAAACTGCAAGACGGTCTCCATTTCACTAAATTTTGGGCATACAGCCTAAAGACATACCATAAAGTTTTCCTTCCTTATGAGAGCAAGGCATGAAATCATGGAGAAAGCATAACCTTAGATTCCTTCCCCAGCTGTTAATGATGCTTGCTGGGAATTCTGGGAGCTGTTGTCTTAATAGGTATGGAAATCAGGCAGCAACTCTGCTAACATAGACTCACTGGCAAGGCAGGTAACAATAATTTCAGTGACTGGAAAGATAATACATGAAACTGGAAACAAAAGCTTTGCTTTATCATCTTCCAAGCTGTGGCATATTTGATGCCCGACCCAGGGAGATCTATCTGATAAGCTAGATAAAATATTTTGCCTATTACTTGTAAATAATGTGTGCATCTCAGGAATATGCAAATAATGCTCTAGAAACTATTTTGGACCTGGAGCTGCCAAGCATTACACATCCAGCTGGAGCTTCTATGTATAAAAGTTTCAGTCAACAGGAAAATGTACACCTTGCCTTTCGATGGCCAAGATGTTTTCCAGGTGCTCCAGAAGCACCATTCAAACCTTCTACATTCCTGCTCTATAGAAAGATATTTGTTCAAATCAAAACAATCCTTATTACCTGGGGGGGGGGGGCGCTGTTAAGAAAAGAGGAGCTGGGGATCATTTAAGAAGCAGGTGGCAAACCTTGAAAGGCGCTTGCAACAAAAACGTCCCTTTCCCCTCTACTCACCAAAACAGCAGTAAGCCACTCCAAAAATGCAGCAGAGAGCACAAACCACGCAGGGCACCACTTCATAGTGCCTTTCTGAAAGGAGACTGCAAGGGTCCAAGGCGGGCTCCGTGGGCTCGGCTGCCCCTTGATTAAAACCCCGGGGATCAAAAGTAACAGCAACCGGTAGTGGCAAGGTCAGATCCATGCTTACGAGCAGGAAACAGCTCAGCTTGCCAGAGCCATCCAAATGGGAAAAGCAGCCTAGAAAAGAGAATTCTGTTAGGGCGTGAAGAGAATCCTAGAAGACTCAAGCCCACCCAAACTCCTCTTCCCAAAGTTGCACAATTAGAACCAAGATCTGGCTGACATATGTTATGTAACCCATTGTAAATTTGTTTTGTAATGTAGTCCTCGACTTACAACCATTTAGGGCAATGGTTCTCAACCTTTTTAATGCCGCGACCCCCAACCAGTTGTAAGTCAAGGACTACTCAACTGGTGCAGCACCGTTTGCAGAATGGGATTTTTGGCAGGCTCAGCAGGGCAGAGAACAGCCTGGACAATTCCTATTGGCTTTTGAAAGCCAATAGAATTAGACTCTATTCAAGAGAGTCTATTCTATTGGCTTTCAAAAGCCAATAGAATAAAAGGGGGTAGCACAGCTAAGGAAAAGGGGAAAAAATGGCGGACTGTGTTGTTTGGCGACCCCAATGAAATGGTCCTTCGACCCCAAATGGGGTCCCGACCCACAGGTTGAGAACCACTGATTTAGGGAGACCGTTCAAATTTGCAATGGCAGTGGAAAAAAAAGTGATTTATGACCATTTTTCACACTTATGACCATTGCGGCACATGATCAAAATTTGGATGCTTGGCAAGTGGCTCATATTTACGATGGTTGTAGTATCCCAGGTTCATGTGATCACCTTTTGCAACCTTCTGACAAGTAAAGTCAATGAGGGAAGCCAGATTCACTTAACAAACGGGTTACTAATTTAACAATTACAGCGATTCACTTAACTGTGGCAAGAAAGGTTGTAAAATGGATCAAAAATTCAGTTAACAATTGTCTTCCTCAGCAATGTAAATTTGGGGCTTAATTGGAGTGGTAAATCAAGGACTACCTATATTAACTTAGCGTGGTGTGTGAACCCAGCCCCAAATCTTCTTCAGATTGTTCAGGTTAGACTTTTAAGAAAACCTGAATATGGTTTGAGGCTTATCTTCAAAGTTGCCCCAAAATCCAATCCTGCCCACCTCATCATTGTTTCCCTTTCTCCTATGGTGCCCCACAACCCTGACCCTAAAGATAGGCGGTTCTTTCACCCCTCATCATTTGACAGGCAATCACAGGAAGTGGAGCCTTTTTCTGAATTTTGGCGAGGTCCTGGCTCCGGGAGGTGTTTCCTGCTATGTCCATCATTCTTTCTGCCCAGTGTCTCTGACAGGTCTAGAAGTACACAGGGAAAGCAAAGATGCTGGTACACCTGGAATCTCCACTGTAGGGATTTTATTATGAACTGCATTTATTTGACAAAATGTCAAAAAGGTAAAATGGATATAATGAAGCCACAAGCAATTGCCTTGGCATGAGGCACTTGGTATTATTCATGATGCTGGTTCTTCCCATCCCTGACATTACCCCCAATGCAGCTGCATGTCATGTTTCTTTGCCACTTTCTTCTCTCCCCCCCCCCCCGTTAGGATATTGAACAACAGCCCTACAAGTGAAGGAGATCTGGGGCAGAGAGAGATAAGAGTATGGCTTTACATCCCTAGTACAGTTCCACTTGGGATTGGTAGCTGGTTAAAAGAAATGGAGAGGATAATGTTGAAGAACAGAGGAAACACAGAAATGGCAAAATGTCCAGAGCTGGGAGCTGTCTGGAGTTGGTTGGAAGATAGTTATATAAATATTTTAAACGAACAAACAAAACGACATGAAAACTTTTATGGAAGAGGTTTGGTTAAAATATCAATTCTCCAGCAAACATTGATGACAAATTATCTAGCTTTCTACAGACTGTTGCCCAAATGCAGCAGTTCTTCATGCTTGCCCTCCTGGAATTCCCAAGCACTGCAGCTATACAGCTAGTCCTCGATTTACAACAGTTCGTTTTGTGACTGTCCGAAGTTACAACAGCGATTTTTTAAAAAGTGACTTACGACCTTTTTTTTCACACTTACTTTCACTGCAGTATCCCTGTGGTCACATGATCAAAATTCAGATGCTTGGCATATGAATATAAATATGACTGACTCATATTTACGCTGTGTCCCGGGGTCATGTGATCACCTTTTGCGACCTTCTGACAAGCAAAGTCAATGGGAAGCCAGATTCACTTAACAACCAGGTTATTAACTTAACCACTGCAATGGTTCACTTAACAACTATGGCAAGAAAGGGTGTAAAGTGGGGCAAAACTCACTTAACTGTCTCACTTAGCAAAGGGCTCAGTTGTGACTTAAGTTGAGGACTACCTGCATGAAAAGTGGCTGGGAATCCAGGACTCTATGTCGTAAGACATGAAAGACACAAGTTGGGAGATGGTCCTGGTCGCCAAAAAAAAGGGCTGGGCTAGATGGGTCATTTGGTCTACTAGTCCAGTGTGGCACCCCCTAGGTTCACATGGGCCCAACCACCTTATTTCTTCACCCTGAATTCCTAAATCCTTCCTTTCTTTACTCTTATCGCTCAAGAGTTAAATGGTCCCCCATGATACAAGTGTGAGTAATCTCCCCACCCCAGTTAGTATTGACAAAATGTCTCACTCCTCGGCCCTCTAACCAAATCTGGCAGCGATCATCGCAGCAAATCCGAGCCAACGTTTATGCATTCAAACTGGAATCTCTCCTCTCATCCCCGTGGAAGTTTATTGGGACATTTAAATTCAACGGCTATTGAAATCTGGTCCTCCGCCAGGAGTTCGGAGTCTTATTCCCAGCTCTGTTGGGAAAAGGGGAAGCCTTGTTAATTGGAGCAGAAGGTAAAAGTGGGAGCCAGAACTTCTGGGCTCCCTTCCCAGCTTCAGGGGGGATGGTATCCATCATTGTTCAGATGGGTCTTATTTCAAGAGGGGAGCAAGGCAAGGAAATGTAGGCAATTTAAGATACCCAGTAATCCAGCGTACTACAGCCCCACTGGCTTATAATACATTCCTTTATTTCTCTGCAGGATCATCTCTACTTCTACTCAACTTTTTCAGCTGACAACCTCACTTTTACTTAACTATTTATTTCCCTTTTCAGCATTTCTGACACTGCTCAAACAATCAGTGCAGACAAACATTGGTCTTCAGGGGTTCAGGAAATCCCTACTTCAGGGGTATAATCCTACTTTAGTTGCACTTTGGCAAATAAAAATTCTCTGTAAATATGGCATCAGACTTTTGGGGGGGAAGGGCAATGAGGGGAAAACAAAAAAAAAGATTTATTTACTTATTTTTTGCATTTTTAAAACAACCCTGTCCCTCAGAAATGCATTTGCAAGGAGGCTTTCTCATCTCCTGTGCAAGATAATCAAATGGACAAGTTTAGTTCTGAAGTTTTAGGGTTATATATTTCATATATAGCTACAGGTTATTCCTGTTTTAAAATTACTTTTTCTCCACAAATATCTATCCAATTATGCAAAGAAAGAATTTCTAAAATCTACTAGGTCATCCCAAGCCTGACAGGGTAGCATAAAATAAGTATTAAGCGGTTGGCCCCACAAATCACACATATTTCCTTCCAAGGAAGCACCTCAAAAATCCATGTGTAGCTAGCAAAACATTAAAGTTCACTGAATGAGGGAGAAGGCAGTATGAAAGCATAGCAAGCATGAAGTTACTGGAATTAAGCTGTCACGCTTACCTACTAGGAGCCTCAGTTTACTAAGTCAATGCTTAAACTTCTCAAAGAGACTATGTGCCACGTTTCGACCTGCAGCTAAACCAAATGGGTCATCCTATTTTGGCTGTGGCTTCATGTGCTTGTAAACAAAAACATCTGCAGAAATCTCCTTTTCTCCAACAGTGACTCCTATCCCAGATAGGAATACGGTGCTGAGTTTTAATGACATCGCTCTTCTGGAATCAGAGTCCAGCGTCCCTTTAAAATGCCACTCGGCTCCCTGAATGCGCAGACAGGGAGGAAAAGAAACAGCTGGGAGGCTGGGAAGGGATGGATTAGTAAGCAATTCTCAAACTGTTAGGATGTGCAGCGAAGGTCTCTTAAATAAGACACGGAGGCTTTTACAAAGCAGCCGTTACTGTAGCAATCCTACAAACAGTATTATTTATTAAGCGAAGGTTTTTTACGGTTAGTTTAAAAACACGCCTTTAGTTCCTTTAAAATTTTAAACCGAAGAATGCTTTTACCGCGGAGTCCAAGAGAAGCTCCTTCCACCACTGGCAGGCTCAGATCTAATCCCTCCACCTCTTTGAAAGACCACCCCTCTTTCCTCCAGTCACGTGTCCAAGTCCAACTTGGCAAAAGACCCCCCCCCCCAGGATGATGCAAAAAAAAAAAAACCCCTTCCCCCGAACTCCTTCTCTCCTCCAACGAGCAAAGGAACGAGAAACACGGTCCCTCGCAGGATAGCGAAGAGGGAAGGGAACGCCTATTGTAACTAGGTTGATAAACGGCCGTCAGAACTTGCATCCACATCACCGGAAACCCAGCATAACAAGGCTGGGGGGGGGAAGAACTCCAGGCTAAAACTTACCAGTCTGGGGAAGGGTTCCCACCACCGTGTACAGCCACGATCGCTCTGCAAAAGCAACATCCCCCCCCAGACTCCACCCCCTCCGGAGAGCGACTCCCGGAGACTCCAAAAACGAGCCCTGCCCGGAGGGGCGAAAATGCCCCCCTGCCCTTCCCGTGGCAAACTCGGCGAAAGCAGCCTTCCCCGCGACAGCTGAAAAGTGACCTCACGAGGAGGGGAGGGGCCAGCGTAGAACTTGGCGGGGAGTAAAGCGACTTGGGGGGGGGGAGCGAGGGGTCGGCGCCTCCTCCTGATTTCTGGGGAGGAAAGGAGCCGGCACGCGGCCAGTCCTTCTGCTGTGGCGAGGGAGCCGCTTCTTGGGGCGATCCGGGAAGCATTGGTTGGGAAAAGGCACCCCGAAGCCAGCCGGGCATACCCCTCGGCGACCGAAGTGGTTCCTTCCAGCGAGAGAGAATCGCCCGATTGTTTTGCAAAAGAAAGGCGCGATTTAAGCCGGGCGGGATTTGCGTGCGAGGAGGGAGCTTTCTGCTGCGGCCGGGCCGTTGCAGGCGATGGGAAAGCTTGGCTTGCTAACTTTTCCCCTCAGCGCTCGCCGCCGCCGTCGATTCTTGCTTTCCTGGAGTTGGGCGCAGATGGATGCCTGTCCGCTCACCACTGCGGGCTTCCCTCGGCACTCCAGCCAGAGTCCTTTGCAAGAATCTCGCCTTCGAACAGGAGAGCGCTCAACAGATAGCTGCGTCTCCAGGCCTCGGCTCCAGGAATGCGGCCGGGCTTGGAGCTAGCCGGCTGTTGGAGCAGGTGCCTCAAGCCAAGGCAGCCTCCGACACAAGACAAGTGGTGGCTGGGACTGGAGAGGGCAGAGATAGAGGATGCAGGGATTTCTGGGAGGCTGAACCCCAGTAATGCCCCTGGCCTGCTGTTTAGAGGAGATATTGGGCCCTTTTAGGGGACCTCTCCACATCCTCCATCAGCCAGCAATCATCTTTTTCAGAGGTGGTATTCAAAGGACTGTTTAGGCCAGGGGTAGGCAACCTTGGCTCATTTATGACTTGTGGACTTCAACTCCCAGAATTCCTGAGCCAGCATGGCTCAGCTTGGAAACCTCACCCTTTCACCTCAACATGGCTGGCTCAAGAATTCTGGGAGTTGTCCACGAATCATAAAAGTCAAGGTTGCCTACCCCTGATTTAGGTCTTCTGCATTTGTTCATCAAATTCAAAGGTGACCAAAGTGACTACAGGTAGTCCTCCACTTACAACCATTCATTTAATGACCGTTCAAAATTACAATGGCACAGAAAAAAGTGACATGACTGTTTTCACATTTACAACCATTGCAGTGTCCCCATGGTCATGTGATCAAAATTTCGAAGCTTGGCAACTGGCATGTGTTTATGACAGTTGTACTGTCCCAGAGTCATGTGATCAACATTTGTAACCTTCCTAGCCAGCTTCTGACAAGCAAAGTCAATGGGGGAAGCCTGATTTGTTTAATGACCTAATGATTCACTTAACAGCTGTAGTGATTCATTTAACACCTATGGCAAGAAAAGTCATAAAATGGGGCAAAACTCACTTAACAACAGTCGTGCTTAGCAATGGAAATTTTGGACTCCGTTGTGATCATAAGTCAAGGACCACGTGTAGGTGATTGAAAAAGACTTCCTCCTCTTCCAATTCCACCCTAGGTTTTTCACAAGGACATACAAATAGTACAGAGAAGGACCAGTTGCTGCTGGACCAGTGTAAGAATATGTCCCCAAGGTTCCTTCCAGTAAATCTATCCTACTGAGTTCCATAGTAACTCAGAGACAAGGTGTAGGGAAAATGAGAAACTAACTCCTGGGCATTCTGGCTGGACTATTCCCTTGACTTTGGGATTGTGGGAAGCCATGCTTGCTCCATGTCCTAAGGCAGGGGTCCCCAGTCCCCAGTCCGTGAACTGGTACCAGGTCGTGGCATGCCAGCAACCGGTCCACACAAGCAAAGCCCCATCCGTGGGATGCAGGTAGCATATAAAACCACACACTTTCCGATCCATGGAAAAAACTTTCTCCACGGAACCTGTCCCTAGTGCCCAAAAGGTTGGGGACCTCTATCCTAAGGCCTTAAAACAGAATAAAAAACTGTTCCATTAATAGTAAAGAGGTAGCACAAGAGCAGATGGTCCCAGCCACCTCTGAGCAAACTTAGCTTCTAAAGCCCCTCTCGCTGCAGGAGGCCTAAATAAATCATTCTTACTTGGCTGCTCCTGGGTGGCCATCACAGCTTAGAAGCCCATCCTGCTGAGAGATCACTCAACTTATCCCCCCATTTTGCTTTTGTACAGTTGGTTCCCTGCTCCGATTTTCACCTTCCATATCTAACACAAGAGTAAGTTGATAATGTTGCTGCAACTTCTGAGACTTTGCCAGTGAGACCTTTCTCACCCTTTTCTAAGTTACTTTCATGGCCATATTTCACTGCTTGATTCCTTCCAGCACAAAATAGTTTATCTATGTACTGGTTGCCGAAGTTTTGAAAAATTTGATTCCTGTTTCTGGACAAGCAATGCATAGCTAGAGATTTTAGGAGAAGAACAATAACCGGCACTGAAGAATAAAAGTTTCTCTGCAGTCTTTGAAATGCTATGAAAACCAAATGTATGCTGAAAGGAAATACTGCACTGCTAATCGAGAGAAAGGGGAACAATGGCTTAACTATTATTTAGGAGATGACCAGGCTGAGCCAAAGGATGGGGTCAAATGCATCATCAATCTGGAGTCTCTCCACTTCTGCAAGAGACCTAATCCAGCCCCCCTTGAATTCCATTGACTCTTACCTAGCAGCAATTTGCTTTAACCATTAGATCAGGTTCTTGTGTATAGGTAGCATGGAATAAACTTGAAGTATTTTGAACTAAGTGCCTGTTCCTGATTACTTGCACCTGGCAATTTACTGAATAAGCCACAGTTAGCTGGGTCTACGTAATACCACGTAATACCAAGGTTTACACACCTCACCTTTATGCAGAGATTTTGCACCATGCAGAGCTACTAACAAGCATGCCACATTTTGACTTAGTCTGTTGTTAAAACAATGTTGAATAAAGTACAATGGTTGGGTTTATTTATTAAATTTATATGCCATCTACTCATCAAGTGCTTGAGTGATGAATTCATACAACATGCTAAGAGGTAAAACCAATTCTACTGGCTGAAATCACATGATGTGCTAAGTTATAAATTTTGAGGGCTTTGCTTGTTCCTGCATCTTCTTTATAGCTTGATTCTTATGCAAATCCATCAAAATGGATTCACATGAAATGTGAAACAATGTTAAGCAAAATATGGTTTAGGATAATTTGTGAATACTACTGTGATGTCTTAGTGTAGTGTGCCAACCCAGTAATGCTTACAGATTGATTCTGGAAATTCAGACAGAAGTGAAAGGAAATTCAACTGGGATGACGCTTTGTGCAGCTAGCCATGGGCTTTCTGGGCGTCTGATCACTACTTTTGCAGATCTCTCTGTCTGGATTAGTGAACTCTGTTCCATAAGAGGAGCGACCACAAATTGCTTTTATTGAAGCCCTGTTATTGGTTTTACCTCTGGGCTTCTCATTATTGGCTCCACTATAGCCAAGGCAGGGCTTTTCATTTCCCACAGCCTCCCTTGTGAGAGGGTTAAAATGTCCAAATGCTAAAAGCTTCTGCAAGTCTCCTCTACCCCTGCCTTCCTCAGAAACAAATTGGATTCTTTCCAGCATGGGCTTTAGAAACAAAGAGGGCTTTATGATGGAAGCAACTCTCACTCAAGGCTCACAGTTTTAACACTGGCACATGATTCTTGGAGGAGGGTTTGTCCCTCAGGAACTGGATCATCCATGATCAGTTCCCCGCTGCCACTCTTTATTTCCTTTTGGTGCAGCTAATCAGACTATGAGGTTGGGGGTACTGAATTCTCTCTACAAGGAGGAGAACAATGTGAGATTTGTGTTTCCATATAGAGTTGAGGTGGGCATCCTGTTTAAAGGTGAATGGTACCTTGATTTTATCTGTGTCAGCTTCTTCAGCCTTAATCTTCCAGTTGTTTTGGGACAATTCCCAGAATTCTCACCCAGCATGGTGGAAGACTCTTGCTGGCTAGGAACTTTGGAAATTAACAACCCTTATGTGTCTGATCAAAGTGAGCCATTCAACTACAGTATATTGGGACTGAGAATCTGGAATCGTGGTCTATTTGGTTCCAGAAGGGGAGGAGCAAGTGTATACAATTCCTTCAGGCAATTATCTGATCCCAGGGACTGGCAAGAGTCCTGAGTTCTAATTGGCTAATCCAGTGAACTAAACCAATTAGTTGTTGGATGGTTTCATTTTACACTTTTGATAGAGAAATCAAATGCTTTGCTGGTCCAAATTGTGCCCAGGTGTTGTAAATTGTGTACTGGTTGAAGGATGCTTTCCTCTTTGTTGGCCAAGAACTCTAGGTCCTTGAGGTTCTGCGCTGTGATCTGTATGTCCTTCCCTTGTTCAATGGGCATTAGATAAAGAGATCATCCAAATAGGAGTACACATGTATTCCCAGGGATATAAGATGGGCTATGATGGTTGTAATCTCTTTTATGAATTCTCTCTGAGTGCTGATGACAAGCCATATGAAAGGGCCTTGTTCTGGTAATGGGCACCATGGTGTTTGAATCTTAAGAACTTCCTGTGTGTTATATCAAATAGGACATGAAGATAGTTTTGTAAGTTCAACAAGATCAGAGTGTCCTCTTTCTGAATACATTTTAGGAAGGATCTCAGGGTTTCCTCTTGAAACTAGTAATAATTGACGTGGCAATGCACTATTTAGAATCTAGGATGGTGTCCCAGATTGTGTACTTCTTGAGAATAATGAAAAAGCATGGAGTGTGAAAACTGACACAACCAGTCACCCAGATACTTAAGAGATAATTTATAGTTTTCAGGACTATTAAGTATTTGGCCAATTTGTATGACTAGAGAAATGTGTGAAGATGGAACGGGTGGGGGAAGAGTGTTGTTGATGGTCTACTCTTGTAAGACAGACTTTGGCTTCCATTTGTCTGATATTCACTTTAAATTTATTAAAGTGAATCAATTTAATTACCTTCTTGATCCTTCAGAAAGTTAATTAGTCACCGAGGTTTGTGTCCTCTCCTTTTGTGGGTAGATGAATGCATTCCCTCAGACCGGGATTGAAGTGGTATGACAAGTTCAGAGATCTCTTCTCCATCCTCCCCCAGGTGTTCCATTGTCTTCCAAAGATTTGTTTTGAGTGCCACAGGAACAAAAATAGTAAGTGGCATAGCCTGAGGTCTTCTGCCCTCCCAATTTTAATTTCATTGATTAAATGCAGGACTTTCTTTTGATATTTTGTCTCT